GCGAATTTACTCAACGCAATGGCCTCCTCCTGGCAGAAAATCAAACACCACCATCCGTCGAACGGTAAAACTAAATCTCTCATTTATCCCGACCAATAAATTATATTACACTAATAATTCGCGATGGCGGGGCCCATAATTTAATTACTCAATCACCGAGCAGTCCAAAGGAACGGTAATAATTCGAGTTATAAATATAAACGGCCCGGTAGAATGCCATTGTAAACAATTTAATTCAAATAAAATGAGCACCGAATTGGCTGTATTTAAGTAACGATCTTTGGCGCAAATGTCAAGATCCAATTGGAAACGGATGGAAACACTGTGTATGAACACACATAAGCAGGATAAACGGTAACGACCCGTCTTTCCGGACGTCGTTTCCTGTGCGGAGCGTAACACAGTGTTGATATCGTTAAAAAACGAACACCACAGTAAAATTCGTGTGTGCCGAAATATACTCAAACTGTGTCAACACTAATTCTGTACCGAGTACTGTTCGGCAGTGGCTTTAAATGGCTCAAGATTAATATTGTCTATTTATCAGCCGACCTTGAAAGCAAATTTATATTCCGGTGAATCATACCAGTCCATCGCGTCCGGTCGTTTTCCTCAACCCATGTGGGTGCCCCGAGTGCAAATGGCTCATACAAAAAAAATCACTTTTCCGAATCTCATGTCTACTCCAGCTTTTCACTGGTTGTTCAAATTACGAATTTTTTTTAACGTTCCGGTCTTCCGATACCGACCGCTCTCGTTCAGCGGCCCACAGTCGGTTTTTTTTTAGCCGAACGATTTTTGCACTTGGGCAGTTATCCTATACGCGCACACGCAGCGGCATTAATTACAACAAATATAAATAAACTCGTTGCAAAACACCGTGACGAAATCACGGTGTGTGCGTGTAATGTCAAGGTTACTTGTACCTCGTAAATGCACATACACCACAACTGCAGTGTCCGATGTTGTTGTGGGAACGCGAACTTTTCTAGGAACTGGGCTGACGACCGCCGAATCCGATTTCAATTACTCGACCACGACTTAGTAATCGAAAAGCAAAATTTATGGCGACTCCGACGAATATCAGCCGAATTTTTTATAATGAAAATTTAATTGGGAAGTGCATTTTTTAGTGTCATACCGGACGCCGCTTACGTCGGCGTCCGTCCCGCGTTATTTCCAAATAATAATCAACTATTATTTATTTTCGACCCCGTGAATCCAATTAATAAGAACGGTTCTCGATTAAAATTAATTTGGAATTTCATAATTACTAAGCGGTGACGATGACTGGTTAAAAAAAAACAATAGTCTCAGTGACACCAGTCAGTCAAGTGACATACACGAAATGTTCATGAGGGTACTTTTAAGGTGTTAAAAACGATATTCGTGTAATTGAGCGGGTGCACTGTTAATTCACGATAAGTAATTTAAGTATTTTTTTGTTACCATCCAACGCGCCGCCGAGTTTTTTTTAACTTTTCAGCGTTGCCTCACACACTCGCACTACCACAGTTATCTACACGTCGTGCAACCTCGGCCGGCGAGGAAGGCGTACAGACCGTGACCATCGCGATAATGACATTTTGTTTTTTAAGGCATTTCACTGGATAGGAAATGCAGTTGACGTGTGCAAAGGTCTGTGCACATCCGTTCGCAGAATAAAACCGCGTCCGTAGGATTTATGAGCGAAAAAACCAATTCTGATAACGAGAACTTGAAGAGGCTCGAGGGTAACGGCAAGAGATTTGTCGGCACCGTCAGCACTCCGGTCAGATAATGGACGATGATCGATGGGACGATAGCGCGGGGCCACTGTGCCGGTGTTGGCCGTCCCGTTCAAGTGCTCTCGGACCCCAATTCCTCGTAAACGACCATTTCCATTCCGACCAGACAATAATACTCGTCCCTTTTCGCAAACCCGACGTGTGAATCGGGCGGCCAGACGTTATCAGGTAACGCGACGGCGGCGCATCTCCCAACGTGTAATTTACGGGTCCATTTCTAAAAATATTGCCTGGCAGCAGAGTTTAGTTTTTTTTATTACACCGAAATTTATCACAATCAAATTACGGTTTATTTTGGTACACTGGTAATATACATATTACACGGTATTATCAACATCTTTCATTTTTTTTTTTATGACGTCATGTACACACACATTTATTGTGTAAACTTCCGCCCAATTTTTTTTTTTTTTTTTTTACCCAAAGATGATCTAACCGTTCATTTATTGTTTGTATAAGAAATTTTTATACAATTTTTTTTTTATGACTGCGCATATTATTTACCGTGTTCAAGGTAAAGGACTTGGGTGTTGACCGTTTCAACGAAATCAAATTTACCCCGAACCGTTTTGTTAAATGGTAAAAAATGCCGGCGGTGTGACGTTTATATTAAGTCTAGTCAGACATGAAAAATGGTTTTTGACGATAATCAATCCGACCCGAGCAAACTTTTAGCGTCGTAACGAGCGGTTATTACGAGTGTTGAAAAAATATTATTTTCGTAGGTAGACACATAAGTTTTTTAGGTACGCTGCGTTAGTTGTTTATATAGCAAAACAAATACGGTGCTGGTTTTTTTGAATTTTTATTTATTTATAAATAACCTATAAATTCAAAAGATAAGCGTCGCCATTATGCGGCAAAAACTACTAAGATGCAATAAATAATAACTTTTAACAACAAACCAACGCGACCGTTATACAGATAAAGATAGATTGTAATTAGTCGATAGAAAAAATAACCAAAAGTAAATAATTTTTACGAAAATCAATACGGCCCACGTGCGGAATTATCTTCACGATAAACCGTATTTTTTTAGCGACGCGTAAACAACACAATGAAAGATGATAAACTATAAACCGGAAACGAATCGGTCACTTTTCGCGACCGGCCGACAGTTACAATTAGCGAGCGGTATAAATATTTACGGTTTGAGTTGACGGCGGCGGCAACGGGCACTTTTACAAATAGATAAGTGTATCTGTGACCGTACGATAGTTTGATGACTATCCAATGAAAATGAATAATCAAAGGAATTTGCCGGGAATCGACATTGTTGTTGTCGGTGAAATTTCGCAAACGAACGCGGTTAATGGTATCACACGGTTGCCCGGGGAGACCGACGAAGGGGTTGCGTGGCGGTTGTTTGGGCATAGACGACCTTGGAGCGTTTTCATGGCCGTTTCCGCGATGTACGACATTATTATTATTGTTATTTTGATCTGTCGCCGGCCGTTACAATATTATTATATTCCGCTGGTCGGCCGATATTTCCTATTGGCGGCGGCGGCGTTATTACTGTTACTAATTCTGGCAATTGCGAGATAACGATGGACGTCAGTATCGAAGGTTGCAGATAACGGTGTGAAATGTTATTTTCGAGGGCCGGTTGGCCTGTCAGCGCATGTGTGTCTGCTACATAAAACAATCAACGATAAGACTCCGACCGAAAATTGTTTCACTCCTTCCGCCGGCTATTTCCGTAGGAGTCCGTTGATGTGAAAATACGCACACTGCTCTATAGGAGGTAAATAAAGTACAAATTTCCCAAGCGATCACCTGCGGACCGCACTGCCGTCGGCCGCTTTTGTGTGCCAGCGATAACGAAGCTTTTAAACGTCTATTTCGGATACTTCCGGTTGTACAACACAATTATTACTTCGATAAAATCGCCGGTGCACACGCGACACACTCGACGAATCTATTCTCGGCGGCGCACAATTCAAGTGTATAACGTCAGTTTTTCATATCCAGTCAATTTAAAACCATTTCCATTATTAATTCGCCAACTACAATATTTAATCAATTATAATTCGTCATTAGACAAATTTTAGCTTCGAGCAATATCATTTATACGGCGTAGGAGTAAGTGCGGCAATCCATTTACATGTTTGTATTATGGTTTTTTTTTTTGAAAATCAACGGGTTGCTTATAAAACTGACGGTTTTTCTTAGACATTTTAGACGCATACGAACTTATTAGAAGTCGTCAAATAAATGTATTATTGCAATTCCTATTAATCTAAATTTGTTTCTCGATAGTTACCGAAATATTAATTAATCAGTATGAAATGTTTGATAGTGTTTTATGCATTTAATTTTCGAACAATTTGAATGTATTAAATTAGCGATGAATAAATAGGCCGATATTTGCGGGTGTGGTTAAGTTGACGGATGCAATGTGCGAGATTGTAGTCTAGTTTTGGGTTTCTGATAAATCTTAGCTAAGGAAGTATTAATTAAAACGAGTTGTTTTCTAAAAAGCATTTACTGCTGAACGCCAAACGAAAAGCAGTGCACTACAACAACGCAGTCATGAGCGCACAGTTGTAAGTTGAGTATCTTATACGACAGTAAAGCAATGAACAGGTCTCAATATTGCTTATTTAATAAAAAATTATGTTTGCTACTGACATAATTCTATTGACCATTTGATCTGTGCGAGATTGGCCTCGTGTATTTTTTTTTTATCATCGACCGCACAGTATTTTCATTTTGTAGTAATTGGTAAAATATTAAAGCGGCGATGACTTTTCGTCGTTCCCGCCTAATATTAGTGGCGAGTGTTTCCCGCGCGCGCCATTCCGTCGCGCTACTGCCGCTCGTCTGCTGTCTGTTAGTAATAATCTCCTCCGACACGATCGGTCGGCGGTGAGGTAGCGGCGGCGGCAGACGGATAGTCGGGCTGCGTACTACGGTGATGGTGGTAGTGGTGGTGGTGGCGGCGGCGGCGGCGGCGGCGGCGGTGGGAGAAATACTGCTGGCTTACACACACTTACATACCGGCATACGTGTGGACCGTCGGCGTGTATACTGTACCGGCGCGCGTAGAGGGGACGGACGGCGGGCGAGGTACACCATTTGCAGACGGACGGGACGAAGTATGGAAGTACGCCGGCCGGCTTTTTCACCGGTGGCGGCGGTCGGGGGTATAGACAAGTGCGTGCGCCGCGCCAATGTGCGTGTGTGAGCGACCGTACTGCCGTGCTGTTCTCCCGAAGTAACACCTCGTCCACCCCGCGTCAGTCCTTTTAAGGAAACCGTCTGGTACGCACGTCTCTTGTCAGCGTCCGTACGCGTACGCATTACAGTCTTTACCGTACCGGCGCCTGCAGTGAACGTACTCGATATTTAGTCAAACACGCGGAACTTACAGTTTAATAATAATAATAACAATAATATTATTATTTATCCGTTGTTCCGTTGCGGTTTCCGTAAAAAAACTGAATTTTTTTTTTTTTTTTTTTTTTCTGGTGTTATTCGTTCTCGACGTAGATTATCGTTCGGCAGGTAAAAATATTTCTGTCGTAGAGTTTTTCAACCGACCGTTCGAAAACGCCGCCTTACAGATCGCGGCGATTTATCGTACGGTGAAAAAGTGTTTACGATCGAGTGTTCGACGAAATTCGTTGGGATTACGCGCACCGAACTGGAATTGCCGGGTAAGTACAGCAGTAAAAATTTTTTCTAAATAAAAAATGTCCACACACTTTACTAGTCACGTTTTGTCCATGCTTTCTAAATTTTTGAAAACGTGGCGCGCGCGTTGGGCGTATGCCGGCCGGCGTCAGAGTCGCGCCGGCGCGATGACGGTCGCCCTACGCTTTGGCGCGCGCCTCCGGTTATCGAACCTTTTTTCCCCTCCTCGTCTCTGTCGAATTGGTGGCCTCTTGCCATGAGTTTTTTCGACACATGTCCACGTAGATTTTCCCGCTCGCACGACGTTACTAGTTAGTCGACTCTCGCTAATTTCGGTCGGTTGGTTGCAGGTGCCGCCAAAATGGTGAACCCGAGCACGGAGTCTATTCTCAATCAAATGACCAATTTGGCCATGGACATCGCCTTGGACTACGTGTTGCCGGCGTCGCCCATGAGCGACGTATGCAAAAGCGACTTGTTGGACATGGAACGCGAAGTTGCCGCGGCTGTCAACAGCGTCAACGGCCTCCTGGGCTCCGGCCTGAGCTGTTGCGGCCGTCCACCAGCGGACTTGTGTAAGAAAAACAGTTACATCGGCGCGGCCGGTTGCGACTCTTGTACGGCTTGCGTGGCCCGTCAGATCGACAACAAGTCGGCCGGCAGCGCGTCCGGCAGTAGCACCGCGTCTAGCGGTACGGCCGAAACCACTATGGACATCAGTTGGTGCCAGTTCGACGGCTGCGAGTTTGACACGGCCGACAACAGTTATCTGGACATTTGCGATTGGATATTTTACGCAGACCGCTACGCACTCACTGACGAGAATCGCGAGAAAGTGCAAAAGGCATTTCAGATGGTGCCGCCCGGCGAAGTCACCGGCTACGTAGCACCACCGCTGACTCCCGCGTCGTCCCGGGGCTCGCCGTCGTCCACCGCTACGGCTTCGTCCATAAAATCTGAACCGGACGACGATTACTTGTGGAGCAGCGACAACCACTTGCAGCCCATCATTTTAAAAGCTGAACCCGATGCAGACATTTTGCAAATCACCGAACTAGACCACAGTTACCTCCAGACCGGCGCTACCCTGATGCCACAGTCGTCGGCAGCCTCGTCGCCCGTCAAGCACCATCACCACCACAACTTGGACATGTTGGGCTTAGTGACACCACCTCCGTCTCGGTCGCAATCGTCCGGTAAGTGTTTTTTTAAATCGAAACTTAATTTTATTTTTACACGTAATTGACTTGCATTGCAATTTTTGGTATCGAGTCCCATTAAACGCTATCGCGCTTTAAAATTTTTGCTCGGAATTTTTTTTTAATCATATTACTCTATTAGTTATTTTGATGATATCATGTAAAAAGCCGGCCGGTGAGCGGTGTCCGGACAATGTTGCGCAACATGCCGGTACACGCGAGTGTGGATGCGCGCGCATGGGTCGCGGGGAAGGAACCTCGGCGGGCATCAGAAACGCGGGAAACATTGGCCTTGTTCAAGGTCCAAAGCGGCAGACGGCCGGCGTACTTTTTTTTTTACCGTCCGTTACCGGCCGCGCTCTTTCAGTACTCGCCACGAATTTCTCGAGTACACCGACTAGAGTATAATTTCCCCTCCTTTCACTTTCATTGCTATAACAGTTAATCCAATTACGCGCCGGTAGCGTAATTTGTGAGGTTTCATCAGTAATTCTCAGTCCTCTGTGATGTATCGGATAAATGTAACGCGTACACGTCTTCATTGAGGTGTTGGTTTTGTCGGAAAACTAAATATCCGTTTGGTTGTGTCCATAGCGATGTTTTTTAAGTCGCCACTGGGTGGTCTATGGAATTAAAAAAAAAAACCAATAAGAAACATATTAATATTGTTCTATTTTTGGCGGCTGTTTTTATAACGTCTCTTCTATCGTAGTGTCTTCTCATGGCTTTTGTTTGTGTATAAATATTATATTATTTTTATTTTGAGTGAATTCTCCGAACTCATTTTTGTTTACGTCACAGACCAATAACAATAAGAATACTTATCGCTCGTGTACCAAAATCGCTAATGGATAAAAATAAATACAATGTAAAATAAATCTGTTAGATGCAATTTAAAAATCTTTTTTTTTCGTACTACTGCCGTTCTATAATTAATGTTATACTCGCTGCATGTTTTATTTATCAATATTTATTTTACTGGGATGATATTGTTTATTTTTTCATAATTTAACATTAACAATGAAAATATTTAATATTTTAACAATGCGAAATAAAAATTTGTGATTATTTGAGTGATCGAGCTTCTCATGAATGGAACCACTAATCATATGTAAATTGGATGACCTCGGCCCGAGTTACCGTTGAACGGTCAGTGGGTTTGTAAAGAAATTATTCACTGACCCAATTTATTTCCCAGAGAATAAAACAATTATTATTTAATTTGGCATTTTTTTTTTTTTGTTATACAATTTTTAAACTATTGTTGTGTGAAAAGTAATATTCAAGGACGTATGCGGCGTGCAAATATTATCTCATAGTCGTTCGGGGCTTATCACAGTGCGGAAGTTAAAAATCGCCTGTCTGTGTAGATAAGACTGAAAATATTTTGCAGCCTGTTCACAATTTCACACTATTCGAAACCGCATTGACACGGCGAAATATCACACTTGGCGGCTGTGGAGTTTGTTAATGGCGATAAAAGAGACGGGCAGAGAAGGAGGGGAAGTAGTGTGGTGTTGTACTATGTTGAGTAGTAGGTGCGAGCGGATTCGTTGGTGGGGTTCAGGAGAGGAAGCGTCACCGATCGATATACGAAAGCCTATACGGCGGCGGCGGCGGCGGCGGCATGTCCTTGAACCCAAAACGGGCCCCTCGTAGTGTGCGTGCGTTTTTCTGGCGGAGATTTTCCGTGCGTTGCGCGCGAAAAACGCCGGCCGTCTCAATGGCACGGCGGCACATGTTGGCGGGAACCGAACGACCCTGACGACGTCACGGTCATCAAAACTTATCGATTTTCGTACAACGCGCCGCGGTGTGTACAGGGAAGTTCGTATAGTACACGCGGGTTCGTCGACCCGCCCTTGAACGACGACACCATTTTAATGGGAGCGATTTTACCGCGTGCAAATTCGGCACAACAATTTGTCGTCGGGAATATTAATTTACGTTGTTGTTATTATTTTACAGAGGAAGAAGAAATTGACGTTGTCAACGACAGTTGGGACACGCCAGACACGCCCAGGAAAGGTGCCACCATGGCGGACATCATGAAGCGCGGCATCGTCAAGAAGCGCGATCCCCCGGTGACCAAGTGGAAGAACACGGTGAAGAGGAAGCACAAGACGACGGCTGCCGCGGCGGCGGCGTCGTCGTCGTACCCCATGCCTCCACCGCCGCCCAAAAAAGTTTGCGGTGGCTTGTCATTACTGGACAGGTACAAGAAAGACACCAATTGGAAGGACAACACTCCGGCGTCGTCTCCCGGACGCCTAGACGACCTGATGAAAAACGAACCGTTGACCGACGAGGACGAGGACTACGACATAGACGCCGAGTTCGAGAACCTTATGAAAAACGAACCCGAAGACATTTTCGACGACGAATTCGACGACGACGACGAAAACGACGTGGACTGGGAGAAGATAATGAGGAACACCGGAGGAAGCGGCGGAAAAGCGAAACCGTCCAACGGTAACGGTTCGTCGTGCAGCTCGTCGTCGTCGAGCAACGCCGGAAGAAAGAAAAAGAAGAAGAAGAAAGGCGGCACGAAAGGCGGCGGCGGCAACAAACACCACCAGTCGTCGACGGCCGGCAAGAAGGTCAAGTACGAGGGTGGCGGCGGCCACAGCAGCAGCAGCGGAGGAAGTAGTGTGAACGGCGGCGGCGCCGGTTACAGCTACAAGACCAAGCTGATGGACCCGGTCAAGCGGGCACTGCACAACGACCTGGAAAAGTCGAGGCGGGTGGAGACCAGCATGTTGTTCATGAACCTCAGCATGCAGGTTTCGTTTCTGGACGACAACCGCAAGATACCGTCTAAGCTGAGCATATTGCGAGGCGCCAAACGCGAATGCGACCTGATGATGTTGGACGAGAGGCGGCTACTGTCCGAGAAACACGTGATGCAACAAAAACAAAGAATGCTCAGGGAGAGGCTGTTCGAACTGCGGAGAGAACAGTATCACCGGCGGTACGGTAAGAGCCAACAGTAAAAAACCGAAAAAATCACGTGTAAAGAACTATTGCTCATTATTGATTTTTATACATTACTTATATATAAGTATATACATTTTAATATATATATATATATATATATATATATTCGTAAATAATCGTGTTATCATATGTATATTACATGTGTAACCAGTTAACTTTCAACGATTTTCTTTTGACAATTTAAGTACCTATTTTTTTTTTTTTTTTCTATTATAGAAAGTACATAAATTATTTTTCTATCTTTAAAAAAAACGAACGTCGTCAGTTTTATTTTATTACTCTTTACATTTGTGTTCGACAAAAGAAGAAATGATTTTATTTTTTTAGCGATTTCCACGGATTTTTGTTGAGCTGGAAATTCCAAGGGAGAGCTTTTCTTATTTACCGTCTCCCCTCGCGTCCTTTTCGTGTACAAACTACGCTAACGCGCCAGTCGTTTTATATAAATATATATTTATATATAGATTTTAATAATATATACCCCTTATATATTTATATGCACACACTTGTATATTGTTATTATTATTATGTATAATGATCGTGTAAAATTTTTAGATTGTAATAGGCTTACTGATATTTTAAGCGTTGATTTGTATAAGAAAGTAAATTCGTATGTTTCAAACGATGATTATATGTTCCTAATGTACAGTTTTATTTTTAAGCAACGATATATATATATATATATATTTATATTTTAACTTTTCTTTCGTTTTATAATAATTTTAATGTTACCTCTAAAGTTAGACGTTTGAAAATAAATTAAAACTTACAAGTACGCCCTAAGAGTTCTCTCGTTTTATTGAATAGTTGTAAAACATAATCATTTTATTAACTATAACGCTTTCCCTCCCCACCCTCCCCACGTTTTATGCACAGTACAAAATAGTTTAAGAGGTCTTGAAAAAATGAAAAATTTTAAAACGGTTTTATTTAGAACTTAGTGTGGTCGATTTTCCAAAAATTAAAAAAAACTTTTTTTGTGTATACGATTTGTTAGTTTCTTTTATTATTATTTTTATTATTATTATTATTTATTTTTTTTTTTTTGTTACGTTTTACCTGATTTCGTTGCATTTCCAAGTTGTGTTTGCGCATTTTNTATTACTCTTTACATTTGTGTTCGACAAAAGAAGAAATGATTTTATTTTTTTAGCGATTTCCACGGATTTTTGTTGAGCTGGAAATTCCAAGGGAGAGCTTTTCTTATTTACCGTCTCCCCTCGCGTCCTTTTCGTGTACAAACTACGCTAACGCGCCAGTCGTTTTATATAAATATATATTTATATATAGATTTTAATAATATATACCCCTTATATATTTATATGCACACACTTGTATATTGTTATTATTATTATGTATAATGATCGTGTAAAATTTTTAGATTGTAATAGGCTTACTGATATTTTAAGCGTTGATTTGTATAAGAAAGTAAATTCGTATGTTTCAAACGATGATTATATGTTCCTAATGTACAGTTTTATTTTTAAGCAACGATATATATATATATATATATATTTATATTTTAACTTTTCTTTCGTTTTATAATAATTTTAATGTTACCTCTAAAGTTAGACGTTTGAAAATAAATTAAAACTTACAAGTACGCCCTAAGAGTTCTCTCGTTTTATTGAATAGTTGTAAAACATAATCATTTTATTAACTATAACGCTTTCCCTCCCCACCCTCCCCACGTTTTATGCACAGTACAAAATAGTTTAAGAGGTCTTGAAAAAATGAAAAATTTTAAAACGGTTTTATTTAGAACTTAGTGTGGTCGATTTTCCAAAAATTAAAAAAAACTTTTTTTGTGTATACGATTTGTTAGTTTCTTTTATTATTATTTTTATTATTATTATTATTTATTTTTTTTTTTTTGTTACGTTTTACCTGATTTCGTTGCATTTCCAAGTTGTGTTTGCGCATTTTCCTTATTTATTATTTTTTTAATATTATTATTTTTTAGTTCACCAAAAGGCACTTTATTTGAACGCACTCGTGTTTAAAAAAACGATTTATTTGTAATGTTCAAAATTAAATATTCTACGAGGAGAAAAATAACATTAAATGTACATTATCATATTTTTGCCCCCCAATTGTTGTACATATAAATTAATACACGCTGAGATGGTAAAAAGATTTTCCATTTATCTAGTAGAGCTAAAGCCGGTAATATTTTTTGGAATAATCGTCGGACCGCGAATACTTTAACAATTATACCAGAAGAAGTAACAGGAGTGTTCATTACTATAAGGCTAATTATTATTTTAGGAAAAAATTAAGGTAGGCATTTTTCTTTTCTTTTTTCTTGAAAATAAATCCTCTCCTACGATAAAATTGTGATAAGTACTGTTTTTTTTTTATCGATTCGTTAAGACTTGGTTTTTAGTAGTTATTAGGCCTCAAATAGGAGAAAGTTTTCTTCTCTGACAGCACGTTAACGCCGATTAATAAAAAAAAAAAAAAAAACCTACCTACGGAAAGCATATAGATGATTTTATTTTTATACTCTAGTCTCAACCAGTGCCATTAAATTAACATAAACATATTACTATTTTTCCAGTATAAAAAAAGCTCTTGTGTTTCGTTTGGCCGGAATAATTATGTAACTATTTTGTGCTTCTAATTGTATAATTTTAATTTAATTTTTTATTTTTGTGTAGTAGGGAAAAAAATGTAACTTTTTTTAAATTATAGTGAGACTCTTGATAATAATGTTTTTTTTTTTTTTATTTGAAACATTTTGTAATTAAGGCTGAACGTGATTGTTAACCAAGTGCGTACAATTTATTCAAAATTGAATTTAAAATTAAAGTACATTTTTCATAGTAACTCATAAGCCATAAGTTTAACCTATTTGTATTTAATAATAATAATTTTGAAACTTAAGTTACATTATTATATGCATATACATATTTATATATAATTTTTTTTTTTTTTTGTATAGTCTGTGGCATTAGCCTAGAAGTTGTTAGACTTGCTTTTATCTGTTATTTTTAAGTTTTGTTTTTTATTTACTCGTAACGAGCTACGATTTTTCTTTTTATTATGATTATTATTATTATTATTATTATTATTATTATTATTATTATTAATTTATATAACAAACACAAGTTGAATAAGGAAACCATTATGTACCTCTTTGTCGTTTAACAAAACTTCAAAATATATATTTAGCGCATCATAATAATAATATAATTATTACCTTTTTTTAAATTATTTATGTAATATTTTAAAGAAACGATATTTGATATTTTAGAGTCTATGTTTTGTATTTTATTCATACTTATATTAGATAAAAAAAATAAACAAAAACTGAAAAAAAAAATTATAAAAAACACCGTGAGAAAATATTTTGGCAATTTGTTTTGTTATATTGGAAAAATTAAAGCTAGATTGGAAAAAAAATGGCGTATCGCAAAAAAAATTATTGGCATTTTTTATTTACACACTCTTTCCTCTTAGTCAATTGGTTTTAACCAATTTTTTTTAGTACGGCCATTAATGTCGTCTCGTGTGTTGAACTTTTTTTTTTTTTTTTTTAGTAAAGAAGATCAAAAAAAAAAAATGTATATATACTTATAGACTAACGCGTTAAACAGTGTAATAAATAATTGTTAATACTCGACGAAGTAGGGGAAACGTGTGCGTGTGTCGTATACACTGTGGCGCGGTGTCGGCCAGATGTTTAGGAGAAGTAGGAGTTAGACCGGATTTTGAGAGGCGGCTGTGGCCAGGTTCAAGGTTGGCCGACGATTGTCCGTGCGGTGCACGGAATTCCTATCAGGCCGCCGCCGTGTGCTGGGTTAGCGCCAAATGCGTAAAGTTGATTATACGACACTGTTGGTGAAGTCTCTGCCGGCGCGCGACGACTTACCGCCGCTGGGGCCAGAGAAAGGAAACGGCGGTTCGTGTTGCCGTCACTAACGGGGCACGTTCACGAGCCCGTCGTGTGTATTCCGGCGAAACCTTATAATTCGGTCTGTCCGTTGCTGCCGCCGACTAGGACCTACTAAACCAAGATCAGGTGGCCAGCGCACCTGATCGGTATAATCGGCGGAACTTGTTGTAGGTTCGGCCAAAACTGAATGCCAAGTGTTCAAAGTTCTACGTGGCCGATTCAAATTTAAAGTGTTCATTCAACAAAAGCGTACCGACAGAATAGTGTGATAGGTGAACACTATTTATGACACGAATACAAGTGTTTCATAGTAAAAACAACTGTAACGTTGAAAAACTAACCCGTGTTCGATAATTTAAACAAAACTCGTATCGGCTGTGTGTGTTGAACTTTAAAGGTAAAAAGATACACACGAAATGGTAATTTTTTCGTTTGTACTTGAACGTTTTCTTTCTGTTCAAACAGACTCGTAACTGCTTCAGGAACGTTACGAGCGAGTTTGTTTAAACAACAGCGGTACAAGTCATTTTAACGAAAGTCTAGTATGATATCTCTCCCGATGCTTTGATTAGAACCAGTTTTTTTTTGAAAATATTCAAAGCGACCCGGCAGGAGAAACATTGCATGTCCGTAACAAACGTTCAAAACGAACGACCCGATGATAAGTTATAATCTATCGGTTCGTTCCACCGAAACCCGCGTTTCGTCTAATCTCAATTGGAAGTGTATGAAATACTCGGACACGTTAGTCGGCTTCTGATCGTCCGATGGGTTATGGCCGAAACGTGTAAACTTGTGGAACGCGGGAAATACTCGATTTGTTCAGCCGGAGAAAACGAAACAAAAACGGTATGTGTTGTTAAGGTGTGCGAGATAGTGTTTAGATTGGGAAACGATAATTTATCGTCGGCGGCAACGGTATAAAAATATTTCACAGATGTTTCGGTTGTGCGCAGGACTTGATGTTTGTTTACTCTGGTGAAAAACAAAATCGACTCGACTAAAAACATTGTGTGATCACTACGAACGGGTCAGTTCGGTTGTAGAGGAGTCGCCAGGAGGTTTTTCTCCTCGCGTTTAATATGCCGGCAAGTGTACTGGAGACGAGCGGTCGAACCGTCTTGGATTACGAGACATGCGTAAGGGCGTTACCCATTTGTGAGTGGCCTGCAGTTAATTTCTCATTGTTTTTTCACCGACTGCTGCTACGAATAGAGTATTATAGATTTTTTTCATTGCCGCGGAAAGTGAATACCTCGTTAGATCACAGCCGTTGCGTAGGATTATAAGATGGGAAACGATCGATCCGGACGGTGTCACGTGGCCGCGGTAGTTAATCGTAATAGCCATTGTATGTAATATAGGTCGACGACAATAATTACATTATACAGCAGTGTAGGACGAGAAACGGCTGGTACCACCACCGCTACTTAACAGGCCAACGCGATCCGGTCCAAAGTGTAACTGCTAATTATACTGCCCGACCACTACACCAACAGCTAATCACTGCGAGCCCAC